GGCCCAGAGCGTTTTTTCCCGCCTTGGGCCGCGAAGAAAAATTGCCCCTTATTTTTTCGGCCCTTTCGCGACCGTCCGGAAGGGGCGGAAAATACGTTGGTGAACTTGGTTACTTTTTTTTTTTTTTCGAATCGGAGGGGGGGCAGTTCACCGCCGCCATTTTTCGAAGGGAGTGTTCTTGGCCCGCGCCATTTTTCGAACTCGTCCTCTGACGTGCACGCGTGGAGCATAGCGAGCGCGTGGAGCAGAGAGCAGCTCCACGGCGACGGGCGACCAGCACCTGGAGCTGAGCGTGCAGCAGGGTGAAGCAGGGGTCTCTCTCTCTCTCTCTCTCTCTCTCTCTCTCTCTCTCTCTCTCCTGTCTCTTATACACATCTAGATGTGTATAAGAGACAGGAGTGGGAGAGGGGGAGAAAAAGGGAGAGGGAGATGGGGGGGAAGGGGGAGGGAAGGAGGGGCACAGGTAGGGAAGGGGTTGGTGAGGCGGGGGGGTGGAGGGGATGAAGCAGAGTGGATTAGCTGGAGGGGGGAACAGGGTCCAAATTCGTTGAAGCTGAATACAGCTGTACCCTAAAGCACATACATATCGGACCAAAAAAAAAAACAAGAAAAACTTCAAAAAAGCAAAAAGTCAGGGAAATATGGCAGTTTCGGTGAAAAATTCGCCGAAAATGACACCACCTATTAACCACGAGTGATTTCTCACCAGTAACCTGACGTGCATTTATGATGATCGGTCGATGCCTCGGCACAACCCGCAATACAATGCAGTTCCACCTCGGCTTAAATGCCACGTCAGCAAGCTCTCATCATCCAGCGTGCACCCCTTATGTCACCACATAGCCTTCCAGGCACGCCCTCTCGACTCAGGGCCGCCTATACACCAACGCACAAGCGTTATCACTGCCTCGCCATATCCCAACAAAGAACCAAACAACTATTGCGAAGGAGCTAGCGGAGCGGCTCCAACCAGCTCCGATACCAAATTGCAAGGAAAATGAGCAATAGTGAAATGACAGAAATCCAGAGTGCAAAATCACATTGAAAGCCAGCAAGTCCAATGCTGTCCAGAAATCAGTAATGCACTGATATTCCACCAACGGAGAACTAAAGCACTGAATCCGAATGTCAATGAGAGCATACTCTCGCCACCACCAACATATGTATCCAGAGTCCTTCCTCCTACTTTGCGCTCAGCGCCCAGACTACGATCACACAGCGTACTAGCAGCCTACGAATTGACAATGCATCCTGTTGACGTCAGCAGCAACAACCGAAGTACATGAAGATGTCGACCTTGTAGACCATCACATCATCAACCTCATCTCTCTCTCTCCTTCACCCTTGACTTCATCACCCAGTGGCACGTCTTCTCGCTCATACACGAAGATCACCAACACCTCCACTGACTTTGTCCAAGCCAAGCCCTGGCTATGTAGGGCTGGGTATGGCGCTGCCCTCAGCAGCGCCATGTGTTCTTCCAGCGACGCCCGTGCGCGCCCGGCATCCGATAGCAGATAGCAAGCAGCCCGCGAGTGCACGCTCCAGCAATGCTGCCGCTTGCACTAGCCACTGCCCAAATGACCCCACTGGTGACGAGCTCTTTCCTTTATGGAAAGTGCTCACCCCACTTGCTGTCCGGCTGGGCTTCGTGTGTTTCCAGTAGCTTCCAATTGGGCCAAAGTGTCTGGGCCCAGGCCCACTCAGACAGTGGCCCAAAACAGAATTGGTTAGGCCTGCCCAACCACCCAGGAGTAAACGTGAGGTTCGCCCTGCTTCACCTGTGTTGCTGAAAGAGCCTAGAAGGCTCACAACTTATTTCTGATTCTCACGACTATGGAGGATGTAACCAACTGGTGCATGGCAACCACTATCTGGCGCCCACCAAACTTTGCCAAAATTGACGAACTCAGGCATGGCTACGATCCGGACCCCCGGAAAGGGATCCAGAGCCTCCGGGATCCGGTATCACTTTCCGGTAACCGGTCCGGATGGAGGCCCCCCAGGCCGACGACAATTTTTTTTTTGGGCGGCCCAGGGCATTTTTTCACGCCTTGGGCCGCCCAAGAAAAATTGCCCCTTATTTTTTCGGCCCTTTCGCGACCGTCCGGAAGGGGCCGAAAATATGTTGGTGAACTTGGTTACTTTTTTTTTTTTTTCGAATCGGAGGGGGGGCAGTTCACCGCCGCCATTTTTCGAAGGGAGTGTTCTTGGCCCGCGCC